CTTCATAAATAATATTTTAATTCTAATAAATTGTCAGGTTTCCATAGAGATAAATGTACTTTTTTGAGATTATATGTCTTAAATTGAAGTGTCAAAAGAAATAGAGATTGAACTTTTCTATTTAAATGCACATTTCTGAATAAACAGGCACGGAAAAGCCATAATGCTTTGGAGTTTCAGATGCAAGTGAAGATCAAAGTAAGGAATTGATCTTCCCCAGGTTAAAACACCATATTGAAAAGAAATGTACCATGTTAAAGAGAAAGCTAAAAGATACACACATTCCACCAAATAAGTTATCTTTTCAGAGGCAGAGTAATTTTTCACATTAAGAGTGGATTCCCTCACAGAACTCTAAAAGTCTCATGCAGCCTTAATTATCTTAAATTTGAGGATCAGCGCTCAGCCTTTGGATTGGCTGTTCAAGATGAATAAATAATTTTTAAATGGGAAGGAAGGTTAATGCTAGCTTTGTTGATAAGTAGGGCATTTCGGATACATAGGAATACTAATTATACTGTGGAATATGAATGGGCTAGAAAACTTGGTGGAAGGTTGGATGCTACATTCATTAGGTTCTTTACCCAGTCTCAGCTACAATTGAACATGGAGCCCTCCAGAATCAACCCTTTCTCAGTTGAATTACTTCTGGCTTGCACTTCCCAGAAGGCTCCACACAAGACCATTCCTTTTGCAGCAGTGGGGAACTTCAGGCTCAGAGGCCAAACGCAGCGCTCCTGTGCCTCCATCCCATTTCCCCAACTGCCTCTTGGTCCACCTATTCCTGGAATGGGGCCTCTGAGAGCTTCTGGTCCTTAGCCTGAAAGAGGTTCAACTCCTTCCTGAGATGTGGAGGGCTAAAGGCTTGCCCCTGGAACTGTGGGTGCAAGCCCGGCTCGATCTATCCTGCTGCCTTAGGCATGAAGCCACCCACTGCTGCCTTCTTTCCCAGCTCTGTTGAGGATGCTTCTTGGAGAGGGGGCTGCAATTTGTCATGCCCCCCTTTCCATCTCCTGAATCATTTGCCTCCGGCAGCCTAATGGCAAGACATTGGTAGAAGGTTATTTAGCGTTCATACGGTTCTGATATCTGTTAAGTTTCAGCAACAGAAGTGCACTTCAGAAGATTGTCTTGAGTTCGATAACTGGAAGAAAAGAGGAAAGAGACCAGCTTATGACACTAGGTAGAAAAGAGCTGATGGGGAAAGAATGCCAGTCCACAGTGGAGTTAGTCAGTGGTAGGCAGGGAAGGCGAAAGCCTGATTGAAGTGAAGTGTTTTAAAAGGACTAGAAGAAAGCCGAGGAGAAATTTAACAGCAAAGGCTTGAATGTTAAGCTATTCTTTTTCTTTGGTACAACCATAAATGTAGGGTGATGATTAGCTGTAGGGAGCAAGTAGGTGTGTGATGTCTAGGTCTTGCTAGAAGGGGGTTATATGTGCAAGCAGCGAACATCCAAGCAGACAGAAATACAACAGGAAGAGCCTTGGAGGAAACCTGTATGCAAAAATTGGTCCTGGCTGTAAGGCTGCTTGGCTGCGGTGGAAGGGAATTTGACCTGAGGTAATGAAATCAATAAGAGGCTTGTAAGAGCAACTGGGTCTGGCCACTAAGTGATCTTCTGAAAACCCCAAATTAAATGTTAGCGATCCCTTATGTGCAAAGTATCAATAAATGAACTTGAACAAGTGCATCTTGTCTCTTGTGTGGGTGCCCATTTCTGGATCCTGCCTCTTACACTCGTTACCAGGAGGGTTTAAAGAATTCTAACTGATGACAGTGAAAAAGGCTCTGTTTGTAGAACTCTTGAGTTATAGTGGCAGATAGTTCCGTAGGTCTGGAAAAATAAGCATGTTCTAAAAATAAGATATCCTGTAAGGTGGAACAGGCCAGTGAAGGAACAATTCTGCTATAAGTGGTGGCAGTGCTGGAAGAGTAAAAACATCCAATACATGGGAAATTCACCAGGGTTTCAGACTTTCATTTTTAGTCTCTCTCCACTGAAACAGTGTATAACTTTATAATGTATAAGTTTGTATAAGCTTGGAGATTGCGCAATTTGGGTTTTTCAAGTCAGCCAGCCTTTTCAGAGCTCTTAATTCTATTTTTTTTTTCAACTGCCCAAAGTAGAAATCTTTGAGTGCTGAGTGTTTGTGCCAGAAGCAAAGTCTTCCCTTTATCTGAGAGCTTGGGATGTGAGTAGCTTACCATTGCTGAATCAAATCCTGAAATCAATCCATGCATCAGGTTGCCAATGAAACAATTTGCCATTTCATTCTTTTGCCAATAGTTTAAATTCTAAACCATAACAAACTACTCTTAGAACTCCAGTCACCTTGCTTTGAGAGGTTGTCATCCCAAACCAGAAGCTGGTTCATTGCAGGCTTACAGTCAGGACATTGTGACATGATGCAATTGTTTTGCAGGTAAACAAAAGTCATTTAACACATTAAGAGTGAGTGTGCACAGGTTATCATTGTAGGAAGCTTTCCTGTATTGAATACCAGCATACTGTACCTTAGAGCTCTTCCTGCCAGTATTTAAGACTTAAGACAGTCATTTCAACCTTTTAGAATGGGGACTAAACTATGTGAAATCCAGGAAAATACTCAAAAATAGGTGGTTGGGCAAAAGGAGGAAGGGGCAGGGGAAGGGAGTATGGCTGTTTGGGGAGTTTTCAGAGGTTGGACTCCCATACATGATATTTCGAACATCTCCTATATATACATGCTTACCTGGAAGTAAGCCCCTTGGAACTGAATGGGATTTACTTCTAAGTGACATGCATAGGATTGCATTGTAACTTCACTTAGACATTATTCATCACATTCCATTTTTTTAGCCAATTCCCTAGACTAGGTTCTATTGACCATTTCACTGTTTTATTTTTCCTTTACACATCTTGCAACAATAGTTTCAAGTACATTTCTGATAAATTCATAGCATTCAAGCTTTGTGACATTTTTATCCTTCCGCCTGTGTTTAATTTAAAGATGTCCAAATCCATGTTTAGCCAGAAAAAAAGTTCTACACCTCCCAGCCACTTGAAGGATCTTTTTTTCTGTCTAAACTTGCACAGGATTGCACCCTCAATATATCTGGTATCTTGCTCTTGCCTTCCAAAGAATTTTCAGAGAAGCTTAGTATCCGTTGAACCAAAAACCACCTGATGATGAATCAGCAGAGCATACCAGACCATTATCAGGAACGTTAAAATCAGGGCAAAATGATTTAAAAGACCTAAAAGCCCTCAACAATTCCTTTTTAAAAGTGGGAGTAGCTTTTTTCCCTACTTTGCATGATGCAATACTTGGTGTTAAGCTAGACTTCTCTAGAGAAAGCATTCAAGAGTTAGTTTGAAAGTCCCTATCCCAATCATTACCTGCCTGGCCTCTGAAGGCAGGGCATCCAGAGGAGAGCCTCAGAAAATGAGCACTGTACTCTGATAGATTAATGTGGGAGAAGACGATCTTTCGGAACCCCAGGTTGCAAGGTGAATAGGCAGAAGTGGGCAGAATGTAGGTCTGGATTCATGGGAGAATTCAAAGGAAAACATAAGGATTTCTGATTCCCAATTATTTGACAACAGCAGTAATAACACATATATTTTGGCAGTGCCAAGTAGTTGCTCCATTTTGGGAGGAGGACATTAGAAAGATACAGTTTGCATTGGACTGAAGATATTCTTTTAAATGTATCTATCTATGTCTTGGAAATTAGCATATGGTGAGTGCAAATGGATTCTCAGCACCCTTCTGACAAATACTGATTCACACTCACCTGCTATAAAACAAAGGATTGAAGACCTTACAACACTTTCAACATTTGAATGGGTAGAGCAAAGATGCTACCTGTTAATGGATTCTTGTTTGGATGTTTGATGTGTTTTTGTGGAAGTTGTGTATAGTTCATAAAAACCTATATTTTCATATATTCAAAAACACACACTCACATTTCATATGTATACATAGAAACTAATATATTCAAATCTATGCAGTCACATTTTATTTTCTTTCCATTTTTGTTTAAATTTTACAAGAAAAAATAACTCTGAAAAGCAACAGCAGCAATAAAATGACACTGAAAAATGAAAGCCTGGGGAAGAGCTAACCTGGATTTTTGAGTGGAAGGCAAGGGAGTTCAGTTCTGGTACTCAAAACACATTTTTCCTGGTGTCAGATTTAATGACTTAATTCTGAGTACCACTTAATTTTGCACCTGGGCCTGATTGGTGGATCTTGAGGTTACTGCAAAAAGCAAAGAAGATCCTGCAAGCCTGAAGCCTGCCCACTCCTGTACAGAGGGCATAAGTCTTCTTCTGCTCATGTCCATTTCTCTTGAAATGCGGTGTGTTTCGAGCAAACAAAAATGTCTCTGAAAGGAGGAGGCAAAATCCCCAACCCAAGATGCTCCTTTTATAATAAATAACGATTATAATAAAGAAGGCATGGCAGCCCTAAGACTTTAGCATGCCCCCAGGCTGATCCTTTTCACTTTTCCGCTTGCTGCCTCATTTGCCGGGCTCGTTTGCCGCGCAGAAATGCGCCGCCGATCATGGAGAGAGCTTTCCCGTTGCGCCGGGCGGGCGCACAACGGCAAGAGACGACGGGAACTTTTTGCGCTCGCCGCAAGCGCTGCCTCGGGGCGAGGAATGCCATCTCTCAGCGGCGGCACCAAAGGCCGGCAGGCAGGCAGGCAGGCAGGCAGGCAGGGGCAGCTCGCGCGGCGGAGACGGACGCATGGCTGGCGGTGCGGAGATACGTGGGCAGAGACGGCTGCCCGGGGAGGGATTCGCCCGGATTTGCGAGAGAGCTCAAGGAGAGCCGCGGCTGCCGCTGCGAGCATCCACCCCCTCCCGCCGCCGCCGCCGCCACCGCCACCGCCACCTCCTTCCTCCTCTCCCACTCGGTCCCTCCTTCCCACTGGCTGCACGACCTGCCAATCTGCGTTGTAATCCTGCAGGAATTTCTCCGGGCTTTAACTGGAGAACTCGCGGAAAGAGCGAGGCAAAAGCCAAGCGGGGGACAGGCTGGGACCGGCGAGGCTCGCTCGTGCCTTCCCCATTCCTCGCGGGACGCACCGTGCGCTCTTCCTCTCGCCCCCGCCCGGCCCAAACTTTGTTCGGCCGCCCCTCTCTCCGTGCGCGGCCGCCCAGCCGACGTGAGCGAGGAGCCCAGAGGGACGGGCTGTGCGCAGGGAGCGAGGCGAGGCGAGCCGGGCGAGAGAGGGCGGACGGGCCACAGCGGCACCGACCGCGGCAGCCCACCCCGCCGCCCACCCCCTTTCCCCTTTGCTCCCGCAAGCCGGCCAACTCCGCCCTGGAGCGAGCCAACAAGTGAAGAGCGGCGGCTGCGGCGGGAGCCAAGACGAGGAAGGAGGGCGAGGGGGAGCCAGCGCGTCCATTTCTGCAGCCGGGGCGAGGGGAGCGCAGCAGACCTGCCCGGGAATCTCCCGCTCCCGCTCCCTCTCCCACGGCTCGTTCTCCCTTCCCGCTTTGGGAGACTCTCCGTTCCTCGCGACCTCCTGCCCTTTGGTTGTTGCGCCTGGAGGAGCTGCAACCCGGGAATAATGCGGAGCGTGTGGATACCGCTTGCTTTCGCCTTGGTGGCCTGCGCCTCAGGGGAGACGGTAAGTTCTGGCGGGGCTTCTGTTCGCTGTGGTTGGGGAGGGCGGGGTGTCGCCAGGAGCGTCCGTTTTCCTGCGGAATCCCGGGGCCGGAGCAAGCCACCCGGCCCGGTGCGAGCCCGCTCCCCTGCTGCATCTGCTCCGCGGCCGCAGACAAACAGCCTCTCCGCCCGCCCGCACGCCCGCCACGGCGGAGCACGGCAGCCCCGCCGCGCATCTTAAAGGAACTTCGCCTGACTCCCCGCCCCCGCGGCCCCGGCGCGCACGAATGTTTTCCTGCCCTCCCAACTCGGCCGGCACTTCCAGCCAGCCAGCCGGCAGCACACGGAGTGCCCTGCCGATCCCCGCGCTTCGGCTGGGCTGCGTGGACCGAGGGGGGTGCTTATTTCTGGAGAGGAGCATTCACGCCTCGCGTCTCCAGTTCCTTTCGGCCCCGAACGGTGGGGGTGGGGGTGGGGTGGGGGAGGCAGCGACTGGGGACTTGGCGAGATCCGATGTGTTGGGGGAGCGGAGGAGGGAGGATGATACGCCCCCGCTGTTCCCACATCTGCTGCGCAGAAGTTTTTGCTGAGGTCATTCGCAAAGATCAAAACTTCGGAAGAGAAGGGGGCATCCTCGACTCCTCAGTGCTATGTGAAACTGGTGCGAAGGTCCGGGGAAAGAGAGGGGGATCCATTATATTTCCGGGGGCAGTGATTCTTCCCGCTCCCCCGTTGAATTAGGGCCGGTGCTTTGCAGTGATGGGGGATGCTCTTTATCAAGACGCCTTTGACAACTCCTGTGTTACCTTTTGAGGTTATCTTCGGATGGTGTCTCCCCTTGAGTTTCACCTTTTTAAGAAGCAGCATGCCAGAAAATTGACGATCCAGTTCTGTAGTGCAACATGCTGAGGTGGGAAAGCTTTAAACATCTGCCGTAAAAACAGCCCTCTAAAAAGTGGATGAGTTTGCTCCCGGTGGCCTGTTCGTCACTCCAGTAGTGTTTATAGTATAGTCAGATGCCTGAAGTTGCTGCTTCGACTTGTCGACTTGCCAGGAGAACTCAAGGAGAACATGATATGATGGTGATTCTGAATGTGATCTTCTTGGGCATGTTTGGAAATCCTGCTATATGGGTTCAGTTTGGTGGATTGGAATTTAAATTATGGATTGTGGAGAATCGTGTGTTTTTTCCTAGAAGCAAAACCATTAAATCCCCCCATTCACACACACATACATAAAAACAATTCAGGGAAATTGGACTTTATATCTCCCTCCTATACCCCAATTTAAGTTTGTTGATAGGATCACTGGATTGTGTAAATTGTTAGGATGAAGCTGGGGGAAATGTCTTCCCTCTAAGGTTTTGTCTTTCATTTATAAATTTAGGTTCTTTTAACTTCAGAAACCACTGAAGAATCTGAGTTGTAACTATGGTGCTTATCTAATGTGCAGTAGAAGCAGTTTAAGCTGGATCCAAAGTTAGTACTGCATGTAGTCCCATTAAAATCAGGGGGACTTAAATTAGTCATTAATGTGTTTCACTTGGTGTACCCTAACTATGACTGGGCCCAATCCATGGTCTCTTGGTTGCTGCAGTTCATGCCCCCTTCTGATACAGAGTGAAGTTTAGCATTTATATTTATGACTTTATCACTCCTGTGTATGTCTACTTGGAAGTTTAATGAAGTTTACTCTCAGGTAAAAGTATATATGATTGCAGCCAAAGAACTGGAAGTATTTCTGAGCCTCATGCAGTAAAAACTTCCCATCACCATCCACAGCAACCCAAACTCCTTTGTGAAGAATTGGGTGAAAGTCTTTGCAAAATAGCCCTCATCTTTTGATTGCTTTTGTTGCTGAAGGAACTTAAGAACTGGATGGTTCAGCTGTTAATCTTGAATAGTCTATCTTCTGGGTTCTTCCCTGTAGCTTGTGTGTCTATAAAGTATTTGTGCAAGGAAAAATGCACTTGTATTGCCCCCTTCTTTCATTTATTTATTTTTATTTTGTATAAGGGTAATAGTTGTTCTTCATATCTTGAATCTGTGCAATTTGCAGTCGCACTGAGTTTCTCTCGGAAAATGTTGTTTGCATTTGATATTCCCATGTTGTCTTCTGTATGTATAATCCAGCCACTGAATCTACTGCATGATAATATTTTAGCCAAGCTGAAATTGGAGAATACTCTGAGATAGGTTTTTCCTTTTGATGTGTCTTTAAATTCTCTGTTTCTGTTCATGTAGAGTTTGGTTGTTATTTTTCTGAACTGGGGGCATTGTTAAAAGAAGGGGGGGGGGTCTTCCTGTCTTTGCTTGGCTTTGTATCCTTGAGAAACATTCCAGACAATCTTTCTTGCCCCTTTCAGTCACTGGGAGCAGAATACAAGGGCTCCTCTGTGGCTGAAAAGTGTACAGGATCAAAATATGTCATGTTGTGATTTTTCCATGAAAATGTTTTTGGAGGGCTTTGCTTTGTTGACATGAGCTTCTAGAACGGGTAGTCTGGTCTTACAAATATTTGCGTAGAAGTAGGTCTTGCTGAATTAAATGGAGCGTCTATTAAACTAATTGTTCCTAGGATTGCTGTCCAAAGCTTGCCCACTGCTGCTGCTGATGTACCCTGGATTGACCAGATGGAGGAGCAGTGTGCATGAGACTGGCTGCACTTCAGCAGAGATCCCATGTACATGGATGTGGGGCCTGCCCACACGGATTTGCATCTCTTGAAACTTGCTCAGGACTGGGCAGAACACAAGTGCTTCTTGCAGCAATGGGATTCTCTTTTGTTATTCCTGTGATCTGAGAATCTTGATTGTTAAAATCTTGTAACATGTTAGCTTGTTTTCCTCCCTAAAATAACCATGATAGGAATTGGTGGTAGCAGCCTCTTAAGCCTTCCCCTCCCCAGAAAAAAATGTGAGGTGTGTATTTGATCATTGATATGAGGAACATTCTCATTGGAGAAGACCCTGATGCTGGGAACAATTGACAGCTAAAGAAGACGGGGACGGCAGAGGGTGAGGTGGCAGGATGGAGTCACTGGGGCAGTGGGTGTGAACTTGGGTGGACTCCGAGTGATGGCGGAGGACAGGAGAGCCTGGAGGAATATTGCCCATGGGGTCGTGATGGGTCGGGCATGGCTTTGTGACTAAACAACATGAGAAACATTGTTTCAATGTTTACAGATTACAATGTCTGTACATTCCAGATTTCAGCATACATAGAGTAGATCTGCTGAAACCAATGGGACTTGTTTCATACTTTCATGCCCAACTCTAGATCCAGTCCACTGCCCATATAAAATCAAAATGCCACAAATCTGTATTTTTCAGTTAATTCATTTTCTTGTGTTTCTTTAATAAGGGTACTTAGCAAAAACTATGACAGTTGGTGGTTTTCTTGGTGTAAAGTTCTTTGACTGCATTGGTAGTCCTCATTTTTGTCTGGATACAGTAGACAGATGGAGAAGAATTTTGTGACACCCTGTCTTGTTTAAAATCCATGAAATTAACAGTTAGGAGGCCAGCCCACAGCACCACTGATAAACATACCTGGATCTGCATATGCATTTACATTTAATTAACTGCGCAGGTTATGTGACCAGACATGCTCAAATCTAGCGTTACATTTGTTGACCTCAAGGAAGGGCAACGGGATGTATATGCTAGGGAAGATTTTGCATCCTTCACCTGGCAGCCATCTTGGAGGATTTTATTTCAGGCTTTGGAAACTAAGGTTTATACTGTTAATGAACCAAAGGCTGTGCACTTAAGCATACTTGCATAGAAATCTAATTAAAATCAGTGGGGTTTCTTATGAGTAAACATACTTATGATCATGCTGCTTTAGTGAAAGCTCTTCTCTAGTGTAAACATTTCACAACTTTCTAAGTGGCTTTCTGAATTAGAAAGTAAGGAAGAAAAGCCAACATTATATCCGCATTTCTATTTTGTCACTTGTAACTGGCTGCGCATAAATGATTCCTTCAATTTAAATTTCATACAGATTTTCTGTGAAGAATACATTTGAGATATTTATAAGCATATAATCTTGACACAGCAATGCTATATCAGTCCATGTTTCCAAGTGTGTAAATGGATTATAATGCTTCAGTATCATTATGATCTTAAATTTGGACTTTCCAAAACTTATCTGAGCCATGTAATACTTCTCTCTCTATATCTTCCCCTCTTTTAATTGTTTCCTTTGTGAAAGGTACACTCTAGCTAACAGTTGTCCAGAAAGCAAAATGGGCGGGTGGCTTTTGTCTGTTTTTACAGCACAAATGAGGAATTACAGACCTTGTGGTGTGTTTAAATGAGGGAGCATGTGTTGCAAAGAAAATTGTATCAAGGTTACAGTAAATACTGAAAGCCATCAATTGTGGTAACACAGTTGCGGTACTTGGCATCATTTCCATCAACTATATTTGGATGTCCTGAAAACATTCCACGTTGCTAGTTCTGTTCTTTTGCTCCAGCTGCACCATAGTTCCAGCAGGTAATATGGTAATAAGATTTCATCAGCCACAAATCTGTGGTGTGTGTGATGACAAGGTAGTTTTTCTACTGATTGGTGAAGATGGTTGTATTTTTAGAAACCCTAGCCATATGTAGCGGAAAGAGTTTTGTGTTTCTCCATTGTCAGTGAATCCAACAGGAGTTCTGCAGTGTCTAGAATGCTCTCACGTATTCGAGAAAAAGTTAGACACATACGCATACTTATGGGTTCCATTCAGAAGGGAGTATCTCCAGGATGTTTTTAAAGCATTGCTTGCAGTACCATCGTTCAAATAACTGTGACATTGGTTCAATGTTAATCAGCTGTTGCCATGGCCAAATGACACTCTTGCTGGTATGTGCCGTCAAGTCTCTGACTTCTAGCAACCCCATGAATGGAAGCCCTCAAACATGTTCTGTCCATGACAGCTCCGTTCAGTTTTTCCATAGTTTGAGGCTATGGCTTCCTTCATGTAATATATCCATCTCATATTTGGTCTTTCTTTTCATCTTCTGCCTTTGAC